AATAAATATTGGCACCTACATCCCGTTCCCCTAAGAATTTAAACAAATTGGGCATACCGGTGTGTTGGTGCCCAAAAACAATAGTTGCAAAAAATTTTGTTTTAATCTAGTTCAATTCTAACCTACATTTAATTAAACATAACTTGTCTCAACCCTTTTGTCAAACACTGTATGTAAGAATATAAAAACATTTACTTTAAAATTTCATATATAATACCTGGGACAGATTGTTTGATGTGCGGGAAATAGATTTATTCTAATGAACGGATACTCCAATACCAAATCCGTCCACTGTTTTATAGCCACTACATTGATATTATTGCCATAAAACGTGATGACGGATTTGGGATTGGATTATCCGTTCCCAAAGTAAACCCATTTCCCACCAATCAAATAGTCAGTTCCGGGTTTAAACTGTATATCATATTACTGTTAGTAATATTCGGTTTATTTGTAGATTTGTGGACGAAATTTACATGAACACTATCGCGTATGTTGGACCTTATTGTATCGGGATACTATTGGGGTATCATTATCACAAATACCCGAATAAGCGTTATGCAAAATATGTATAAATTATTAAGTTCATTACAAACAATTTGACATTTAATAATTTTTTAGAAATGCAGTTCACTCTTATGGAGATTATGTATCATAATAATGACCCTGATAATACTAACCAGGCTTTTGTATGAAAACCAATCCTTGCCGTCGGATAATATGTTGACCGCATTGTATACATCAATCCATTGCATCCTATGGTCTATATGTATGGCGCATATAATATACACGTGTGGGACGGGTGGGGCACCGGTGCTCAATGGCATACTGTCGTGGAAGGGATGGCAACCTATTAGTAAACTCACTTACCAGGCTTGTCTCATTCATGTAACTGTTCAGAATTATATGTTTTACACAACCAGGCAAACAGTTTACTTAACAGTGGGGACAGCGGTAAGTGGTTTATTAAAATTGATTAGTATTTTAAACTCAATTAATAGTGTTTTTAAATCTAATTAATTTACATCAATATTATTCAGTTATTGGAGTACATATCCGGGGTGATTATTACATTCATCATCAGTTATTTCAATTGTATTTTAATTGAGATTCCATTTATTCAAATGGCAAACGAATTATTAAACTAATTAAATGTTTAATTTGAAATATGCTAAGTTTGATATATTTGGGTAATGGTGAAAATAATAAAATGATTTTGAATAATTGCATTTTTATTAATAAAATATTAAAAAGAAAATCGCATATATTTATAAAATGTTTGGTAAAATGAGTGTTTATTTTGTGGCCAGACCTGTTTTTAAAATTATTGGCAGCTCGATAGTCAGACATGCCTCAGATCATAGCAGGGCATGATATGGCAAGGTATGAATTCTGTGTTCTTTGCGACCCTAGTTCAAATGGTACATGTTCAAATTATGGGTTCTCTATTAATTTAGATATTCAGTAACCTATTTCATATTAATGTAATATAATATAGAATTAATTAAAAGGTACAATGAAAATTCATTAAGTGCTTAGTAATTATAAGCAAAAGCTTTCAATCGCAGTTTAATCATTCAAAGTAATATATTTGTAATGTTTGAGCAAGATATATATTAGATGAAACAGAAAGTCCGTGGAACAATTCATTTTAATATATCTCCCAAAGTACAAATGACAGAGAATATTGCTATATATCATTAATTGACATATTTACCCCTGCTAAGGGTAATAGCCCTCCAGCAGTCGGGTAGCATCGTTACCCCCTTCGAATCTTTCTTTTTG